CCCCAAGGCCTGGCACCCCCTCACTGCCTCATTGGCACCGAGTCACCTCTTGGGCCACGACCCCTGAACTCCCATTGTCCTCCCCAGCACATCTGGGAGTCACCCCACACCTGGGGGTCCCCTCTGCCATGTGGCCTCAAGGACAGACCCCCATGTGCTCCCATCCCTGAGGGTCCCTCGTGCCCCTTGAGGACAGAACCCAGCGCCACCCCCTGGGTCCTGGGGACCCTTCGGGCCCCGCAGTGATGGAGCCCTGTGTCACTCCACACTCTGGGGGTCCCCTGAGCCCCACCAGGATGGACCTTCTGTCGCTGCACACTGAACTCCCTGGGCAGCTCCCCCCAAGAACGGCCTCAGCCCAGGCCTGGGGACCCCCCAGTATTCAGAGCAGGTTTAGAGGGTCCCCCTTGTTCCCCTCGGGGTGGGGCTGGGGAACCGGCAGCTCAGTTCCTCTTGGGGACAAGGACAGCAAGGACAGGGACCCCCAGCCGGCTCCTGCTCTCCCCTTCCTGCCCCAAAGCACAGGCAGGGTGCCACAGGGGGTGGGGGGGCTACACTGCAGGGAACATTGTCATCATGGGGGGACACTGTCACCGTGGGGCACACTGCCACTGTGGGGACATTGTCACTGTGAAGGAAAATGTCACTGTGGGGGACACTGTCACTGTGGGGGACATTGGGACTGTGGAGGAAAATGTCACTGTGGGGGACACTGTCACCGTGGGGGACACTGTCACTGTGGGGACACTGTCACTGTGGAGGAAAATGTCACTGTGGGGGACACTGTCACCGTGGGGCACACTGTCACTGTGGGGACACTGCCACTGTGGGGACACTGTCACTGTGGGGAAAAATGTCACTGTGGGGACACTGTCACTGTGGGGGACACTGTCACTGTGGGGAAAAATGTCACTGTGGGGGGACACTGTCACTGTGGGGACACTGTCACTGTGGGGGACACTGCCACTGTGGGGAAAAATGTCACTGTGGGGGACACTGTCACTGTGGGGACACTGTCACTGTGGGGCACACTGGCACTGTGGGGGACACTGTCACTGTGGGGGACACTGTCACCGTGGGGACACTGTCACTGTGGGGCACACTGGCACTGTGGGGGACACTGGCACTGTGGGGGACACTGTCACCGTGGGGCACACTGTCACTGTGGGGACACTGTCACTGTGGGGAAAAATGTCACTGTGGGGACACTGTCACCATGGGGGACATTGGGACTGTGGGGACACTGTCTCTGTGGGGACACTGGCACTGTGGGGGACATTGGGACTGGGTGGACACTGTAACTGTGGGAAAAATGTCACTGTGAGGTGACACACTGTCACTGTGGGGGACACTGTCATTGTGGAGGAAAATGTCACTGTGGGGACACACTGTCACTGTGGAGGACATTGGGACTGGGTGGACACTGTCACTGTGGGGCACACTGGGACTGTGAGGACACTGTCACTGTGGGGTGACGTGTCGCTGTGCACAATGCGGTGCTGCCGGGTGCATGGGGGGCTGGTTCCCTGTCACGGTGCCAGTGCTGGGGGTCCCGGGGGTCCCGGGGGTCCGGTGCAGCTGCTGCTCCCCCCACGGGCCGGGCCTTACCGCCTCGAACTCGGCCTGGTCATCCTCGGGCAGGTCACTGGTCTCGTACACGTCGGGCTCGTTCCGGGCCTGCGGCACCAGGACCGTGCTGGGACCCCCACACCTCATCCCTGATGTGCCACATGTCCCTCTGGACATCCCAGTGTCCCCACACCCCGTGCTGACTGCCCCGCTCCCCCAAAAGCACTTCAAACACCCCAGTGTCCCCCCAACACCCCGACTCACTGCCCCCGTCCCCTGATCTCCCCCCAGCACCACGTCCCAGTTCCCACCGTCACCCCAAACGCACGGGGTGCTCCCACGCCCCAGGGATCCGGGCTCACCCCACGGACAGACCCACAGACAGACAGACAGGTGCCCTTCCTGGCACCCCAAGCCCTCCCCAGCCCCAGCCCCCTCCCATTCCTACACCCCAAACACTGCCAACCCCCCACCCCACGGACCCCTCAGCTCACCTCCAGATCTTCTCCAGACCTACCACCCCTCAGATTTCCCAAATCCCCCTGGCCCCCAGACCCTGTCAGTCATTCCAAGCTCAGACCCCCCAAATTTGACTTGATCCCTGCAGTCCCTCAGCCCCCTCAGCCCACCTCAGGACCCCTGATTCCCCGGGTCCCCCCAGAGCCCTGAGACACCCCGCAGCACCCCCAGATCCCCCTGACCCGCTCTGACCCTCGGACCCTCTCCGAGCCGCCCTTCTCCCACCTCCCCAGTCCCTCCATGTCCCACCGGTCCCCTCCAAATCCGAGACCCCCCGGCCCCCTCAGACCCCCAGATCCCCCTCAGACCTCCAGATCCCCCTCAGACCCCCAGAACCCCCTCAGATCCCCAAATACCCCTCAGACCTCCAGATCCCCCTCAGACCCTCTGGCCCCTAAGATCCCCCTCAGACCCCCAGATCCCCCTCAGACCCTCTGGCCCCCTCAGACCCTCTGGGCCCCTCAGACCCCCAGATCCCCCTCAGACCCCCAAATCCCCCTCAGACCCCCAGATCCCCCTCAGATCCCCTCGGGCCCCTAAGATCCCCCTCAGACCCCAGATCCCCGCAGTTCCCTCATTGTCCCCCAGGGCTTATCCCGCTTGACTCCCCCGATCCCCTCAGGGCCCTCAGCACCCCCGGCCCCCTCTGATCCCCCCGATCCCCTCAGAGCCCCCGACCCCTGCTACACCCGCTCACAGCCCCGGCTCCTCCCGGCCCGGCCCCTCACTCACGATGCCGGGCAGGTCGGCGTACTTGGGGTCGGCCATGGTGGGGGCGGTACCGGGGGTTGGTACCGGGGGTCGGTACCGGGGGTCGGTACCGGGGCCGGTGCCGGTTGCGGGGGTGGGTACCGGGGGTCGGTGCCGGGGGTCGGTGCCGGGGGTCGGTACCGGGGGTCGGTGCCGGGGGTCGGTGCCGGGGCCGGTTGCGGGGGTCGGTACCGGGGCCGGTTGCGGGGGTCGGTACCGGGGCCGGTGCCGGGTCCCGGAATGGCCGCGCAGGGCCGGGGCGGGGCTGGTCTCGCGAGAGCCGCGCGGGGCGGTGCGAGAGGCGAGAGCGCAGGGGCGGGGCCGGGCGGGCGGGC